CGCTAACATTCATGTACACTTTAAATCAATCTTCAGCAAAAAAAGGAAATACATAAGAAAAAAGTATAAATGCGTCCCGTATCTCAAAAATACAATAAATGAAAATGCATGACATAAGAGGCGTGAGATATCGTTGCAACATAGATTAGTACCTTGAGTAGATGCAGCTGTTCTAAAGTAAGATCCTTAACGGGTATCTCCAGCATATCCATAGCCTCTATCTGCTTCTTACGCTTCAGCGAGATAGATACGTAGAAGTCGTGGTAGATCACAGGTATATGGTCTTTTGAAAGCTGAACGTCGAACTCGACCATGTCCGCACCATGATAAGCTGCGGTCTTCAGAGATGCGATCGTATTCTCTCGTACATTAGCACAGCTGTAGAGAGATGATTACCGGAATTGGAAACAATGTATCGAGAAAGAAAACTTATCATAGGGAGAAAGACAAGAATAAGAATCGTATTCTAGAAGAATACGAAGAGACATAAAACAAATAATATATAGATTAAGGAGGCATAAAAATTTATATATAAAATTATATAACAAAAACATTTAAAATTCTTCACTTCAATTCAATTCTAATTTCACAGATAAATCAGATATATAAATAATAGTCAATTTATGCTTTCACATAATAGATCAAATTACTTTTTTGTTTCAAATTTGAAGGATGTGCCAAGCCCTCGGTGTCCTACGTCTAAGCCTGACCACCGCTGTTCCCAGTGCTTCGCGTACGAAATGCTCATGTCCCACGGATAGTCCGGAATTGGTTTTATAACAACGTACTCTACCGTCAATTGTCCTGTTATTGTCGAAAAAAACAGTACGTGTGAGATCGTTATATAAGATATACATGCAAATCAGTTAGTTGTAACTTCCTCCTAGTTGAAATTATTCATTCGTTGAATTTTGATTTGAAATGCAAGGACGTTTTATCATACTTACCAATAGGTCTATGTTTTGTACTAGTGATTGGTACGGTCAGAAGCCCGACGCTAGATTGTAAAGTACTTGGCAAGATGTAGCTAAAACCAATGTGAGTTGGTGGTTCTCCTGGGAAACATCTTGAGCTGTACACGTAGTAGTCCACTAAGTACGCCTGGAAAAACAATCTACTTAATGCTTCATCGAAAAGACCTAGTACCGCGAACAACACTGAGATATGTTTCTTTCAATACAACTTTAGCTCATCCACTTTTCGTGCTTGCTTCAATATTAACCAAGTCCTATGATCAAGAACAAACAAACTCGAACAGTAAGTTTCAGCTATTTGTTTTTAAATAAAGAATTTTGTTTCTTTCTTGGCCAATTTCTATGGTTCGAGAAGAAATACTCGCAACAAGATGTATTTCTCGTTATTAACTCGAATATTTCTTGTCGACCAAAATCGCAAAAAGTCGCCAGAAGCTTTCGTAACGCTTCACGGCGAGGCGGAATTTTGAAACTTGTCGAGTCGTTGATAGGTAAGAGCAATAAATTTCTGACAAAAACACGGTCTGAACAAGTGGAAATCGATTCCCTATGTAATCTAACAATGAACCGGCCCAATAATTGCCAAATGCTGTACACTGCCTGGTGACGCGTATTCCGCAACACCTGCCGAGATCATTCAATGTTAAATTTCGAGAGTGAAATAGAGATAGACAAAGATAGAGCAAGTCAGCAACGTTTGCAATTCGGATTCAGAAGATACTGACAGCATAGATTCTGGCATTGGCCGCGCAGCGGTGACACGTACAGTACAGAAGAAGTCGATCAGAGCTAGAAAATATTAGTAGTATACTAAAAGGATATAGGACTGATGGGAATCTCACCATTTTCGACGCACACAGATGGATATGAGATGTGATAGCGTTGATATCGCAACATTTTTAGGAGTTTATGGAACGGCTGTAACTCGCGTAAGTCGACAGAGATCGAATGAAAACTCAAATTGAATGAAATTTGAGTCGTCGAGTCGAATGAAACTCGAACAAATGCAATCTCATTAATCGACCAGTGAGCGCGATTTTTCACAGGAAAGAAAACATGAGATACGGAATACGAGGACTTACGAGAGCCCAGCCTGAAGGATGGGTCTGGGAGGGTGAACGACAATCAAAACCATCATATCTCTGTGTGATGTCATGTGACACAGATGTAAAGTGGTAGACGATGCTTAGCATCGATACATCAGATAGCATGTTAGCATCATCATTTGCACCAGAGCTCTTGCTTTTGTACAAGCTGAACAGGTCTTCTCCGTGTTCCCGGGGATCGGACACCGTGCGAGCACGTCGCTGCTGGCATTTCCCAGGAGGGAGATAGCTGCTGAACAAGTTTAATTATCTTTTACCAAGTAATTCGAACAAGTCGCGCGAGGAGACGTGGCCGGCCTACTCGTGGTCTACTGAAAACTCACATGGTATGGTCAATGCGTATTCTTAGTGTGCTCAGCTTCGTTTCGTGAATCACCACTAACCAGTCATTTATTGCTCTGCCGTATCAACGACCTCTTATCTCTCGTTCTTATCTTTATATTCTCGGTCGCATCGCGCGTAAGTCCCCCTCCAAGAGAAACTAAGCGCAAGTGAACAATTTTGCGTGAAAAATCGATTGAAGGTAGGTGAACATCGGTGCGTATTTCTGACTTCATTGTTGCATGAGTATGTAAAAAGTGGATGTAATTACTCTTTGAATGCGTAACATTACAAATTGATAAACATGGGCAAACGATACAATAGATTGATCCGCAAGCAATGCAAGCAATAAATCCTAGCCAATGGTTTTTCACATAATGTATTTAGTATGATGCTTTTCTGGTGAAGCTTTCTGTGCGGAAACTTACGATCGTTTCGGGATATCGAACGGCAACACTGAAGAGTGCAAATTCGTCTTCATCGTACGGACGACCAAATTGCTCCTGGACCTGGAACCTAGCCTCTTCATCATTCATCACCTGTGGATACACGAAAATATATTACTCGGCTGGAATTTTACGCAATTAGTATTTTTTTATAAGAGATATATAATTATGGGTGCGTTCGTCTTGTACACTTTTTTGCTTATAGCGTTAACGCTTACATACAGCATTTTCGTTTGTTCGTCTTGGCTATAGCGAGGAAACGTTAGTCTCAAGACAAACGCGTTTAGATAGCAAAAGTAAACATGGCGGCACAAGAAAATAAATAATTGCTGATATATACAATGCAAGAATTGTGCACAATAATATTTTCATCCTCACCAGAGGAAAATGATGAAGGTGAAGAAGAAATAGCTTTAATACACAATATATGTGAAAAAAAGTATTGTAATACAATCCATTTTGTTTTTATATATTCGGCTTCTTTTTATTTTCTTTCTTTATGATGTTGGAATAATCTCTACTTCCAACTTGAATTATATCCTATTTTTTCTACACTTAGGTTAAGTTTTGCTATACTTGGTGTTCGTCTTGGCTTACGCTACGCGTAGCGCTTACGCTATTGAAGACCTACCTATTTCGAGATAGCGAATGGTAGCGTAAATTGATAACGTTTTCGCCATGAAATTGTGACGTCATGGCCTCTCTGTAGCTTCAAAGCGCCAAGATGAACAACGAAAACGATGCTTGTGAACGCTATTAGCGAAAAAATATCCAAGCAAACGCACCTTATATAAGAAGAAATACTCGAGATTGGTACTTACAGCAATTTCCGTAATACTGGTAAAAGCGGGTTGATCAATAATATCCTGCGTATCCATAGAAAGACTATCGTCTACACAGTCGCCTCCAAACCCCTGTTGTAGCTCTAGAGAATTATGTCTAACTAGATTTACAGGCGTCATCTGTAACATAAATTAATTATAAGATTTTATTTTGAAAGAAGCATGTGCTAAATTCAGAGAGAGAAAGCCAGATGCAATTCCATTCATTTCTAATTTGTTTAATACTTTACTACTTTAATTTATTCTATTTTACATTATCGCGATTAATAATTTATTGATCCTTTATTTTGAAATAGGAAAGAAAAAAATGCAAAGATATAAAAATACAAAATGAATAAACTTGTTAACATACCTTAATGTGAACTTTTCTGTTCTGTAGCCGGTTTTTCCAGAGTTTAATAGGATTGTTAAAAATTTTAAATTGTATCACAGTTTCATCTGTCAACCAGCCTTGTTCGATCTTGTAGTAACCATTGTAGAAACCAAATTTGTCGGGATCTGGCAATATATCTTCAGCAAAATTGCTTGGTACTGCAAAGAAAATTACCTAATGTTATATGCAATGTTTCAAATTTCATATTTTCAGAATATTGATTTATTCTACATAATATTTGCAGAATACTTTATTTACATCCTATCAAGTAGAAGATATTGTTCAAAGAGTACGTACTATTTTTTCTGATCAATCGTGGTACCATGTGAGTTTCCCACTTGCGTATAATCAAAGTCTTGGCTGAATTTTTAGCGCCGTTTGATTGGCAAATAACAGCTATAAAATATCGAAACTCGATATCAGCATCGATGGGAAGGGCAACTTTTTGCGAAAATATTCGTCCATCCCTGAAACACATTTAATAACATTGATTTTATAAAACAATGCACAATAGAAGTTTTTAATATCAGAAAACTGCGAATGTTTCTCCAATTCGCATGTACTTACTTTTCTTTCTCATCATCGAATATGCTGTCAGTTGCATTGTCTTGCCCGTCTTCAGTATAAAATTCACCACTACTATTACTGTTATCAAACACTATAGGAGACTCTCTCCGACTGCTATGCTCCTGTGACATCAGGATGGCCTGATTATGATTCCAGGCCCCCAACTCAGGCAAGTTTCCAACCACATAGACAACTTCATTTTTCTCTAGGTTTTCTACCTTTTAGCACAGAACAAATATAATTATTGCAAATATAAGTAAATTTTTGACTTTTGCTTTTTTATTGAGAATATACAGAACATTTTTGCAAACATATTTGCAAGAATGTTATTGTTTCATAAATTACCTGGACTCTAAATAGCCAGTCCCTTTTAGACTCCTTCATGTTGAAATTCTGTATGACTGCCACTTCAGTGATGTTAAACTTGTCTGATATTTGTTGTTGTTGGATATCCTCCTTGTTTTTTTTCTCTAAACATAGTATTCATTGCATGTTAGTGCGTTTTTTATCACCAAAGATTTTACTTTATAATTTTTGTTTGTCTCAAGATACAGTTAGCGTATTCATTTATACATATATTTTTGTATGCCTGGTATTAAAAGAAACAATTCGTTCATAACAACTTCTTTTTCAGAACTGGAGGTTCTAAGATAACAAATAGCATGAAATAGCAAGGAAGAGAAATCAATATTTCTGGGAATTATCCTGATAAAGTTTCCTGTAGATGATTAATAGTAAGTATATGATCAGTGTATGTATATGACTGAGAGTAATCATTCTATGATGTAAGCTTCTTTAGAATTGCCATATTATATTTCACTGTTTGCTCTGCTGACTCTGAGCGATGACATGCTATACAATTTGCAAATTATTCAACCAGCACATTATTTGCACACGTATTGCAAATGATTAAGAAGAATGAATAATTGGATGATTCCATAGAATTTCTTTCACTTCTCAACAATAATACTTTCTATACTGTATATTGCATTCTGCACAACCACCAATGATATTAGAAAAATATAAATCCTCTACTCAAGACACAAATCATTACAATGATTCAGCTATATTATGCAGCAGAAAATGATTATTCATAAGATTACTTATGAGATGCTCACATCCCCCCAAACCAGTGTCGATTTTTATAATGCTATTCGTGGGAAAATTCTAGAGTAACATTCACACACCCACGAGTGGTCCTCCGTGCGAGTCAGGGGCAAAGGTCTATGACATAATATCCTTAGATTGACGTGGCAACGATACAGTATCGTTTTCGCAACACGATAATTATCGCACGATCGCCATGCTGACGAAGATCGACGTTAATGTACCACACTTTGCAGCACAATACGGTAATAACGTGAGAACACAAAGAAAGGTAGTTCGATCGCGCGACGCGGAGAAAGTCGTACACGGAAGCGTTAGACAAATTGGAGAGCGATTGAAGAAACGTTGCCCATATAAGTACGCGCCTGAGTTTATCCATGTTCGTTTCCTTTCACGATAGGAACGTGCATTCTGCGGTGTTCATAGCTCGCAATGACGTGTAACATTTTGCTCCCAGAAAGCAGCAGCACGTAGAACTTCGCGACAACCGTATTTATCGTTAAAGGTGAGCCTATAAATCAGAGGATGAATTTAGAATCGATAATGGATATTGTTATTGGGCCACAAATTTCACAGAGAGAAACTCTGCAGCACCGAGTCATACGATGCATTCAGGGCGAGAGTTTCGCCTCTTCGAAAGTCAATGTCTCGAGCGAGGTGTTTCAGATCGCTGTTTTAGCGATCTGCCGTGCCTCGCGACTTCTTTCGACGCGCGTCGGGTTGATCGGTTGCTTTCCAACAAGAGACACAAGTCGACACAAACATCATTATATCTTTGTTCACATTTAGTGAGTAACAAAAATAGGATGATACTTGTGTCGATTTGTGTCTCTTGTTGGAAAGCAACCATCGTAAGCACGAAGCCTACTTACGTGGAAGAATATCGACGGCTTCTTAAAATCCGTCCTATCCTCTGTTCGCACCTCTCCTATCGTCGTCCTTTTGTTGACGGCGACTCGTGTTACTTAACGAACGTCCGTGGTAATCGTTCCAGATTCTTCGCGAAATTCATCATTATCGCGATCACAGTTACTACCTCGATGGAACACAACACAGTGCTACACGGGAAGGACACGACAATAAAAACGACGACGCGTTCGACGCTTTCGCCATAAACGATTTTCTTAAGCATAGAGAGGCATGCGCAAGTTGATTTCCAGCAACGCCATTGGGTATTTACGATAATTCGAGTTGGAGTTAGTACGAATTAGTTTCACTAGGGCTGAAAAATATGATAGTCACAAGCATCTCATATTTTCATGATTCATGACAACTCAGTGCTGTCCGATAAATCGAGTAGAATAAGGGCTATCGCACACAAATTGACATAACTGCATATGCATAGCATAAGATCGTATGGACCAATGAGCATCGAATATTAAGCATCGAACACCAATATGGCGACTTAATACTCGATGCTCATTGGTACATACGGTCTTATGCTATGCATATGCAGTATGTCAATTTGTGTGCGATAGCCCTTAGGGTAGATATGTATATAGCGTATATATACATATAGTATAGTATAGGTAGTATATAGCGGATAGTATATGTATAAGAATTAACAGTATCAGGTAACATAGTTTCGTAAAATATATAACAATAATATTACGAAACAATGAGTTGTTACATGAGTTGTTTTAGAAAAATTAGAAGCACTAAATTAAATTATGAAAAGATATCATGTATTTGTGAAATAT